AGACGCATACTGCAACCAAAATGAGCAGCGAGAAAACTCGCAACCCTCAAACTCTGTCCTGATGAAACCTCGCAACCCACCCGCCGGCTGACTACGTGGTTTCATCACGACAAAAATGGCGTAATGAAACCTCGCATCCCACAGCGTAACCACATGAACAATAGAAAAGTTATTTTTATGTACTAACCACGTTTCTAAGGTGTTTTTATTTATCTGTACCAACTTTGGTTTATATAGATCATTTTATTCAAGAGTAAATCAGTTTTTTGTCTCTCCTGTAAAATTTTCCTTTCTGGGGTTACGAGGTTTCATCACTCCACCAGCGAAATATTTCTTTATTATTTCCAACATGTGCCCTTTTTAAAATAACTTTACTACATACATAACGTGAAAACATCATGTATAATTTAAGAGTCAAACACAACAAACAATACGTTTACAATGGAATGCATGTGCCTGTTCTTGTGGTTCATCACAATGATGGAAGGAAATTAATCAAAACAACAATTCTCTAATCATAGTTCTTCATTAAGCCGAAAGATAGGCTAAAAGATTTTTGCTTAATTAATAGACAAGTTTCTCAAGGACCAAAGGATGACCCCTTTCAGAAAATGATCCTTATTAATTAACGTAATTTTGTACAAATATCCTTTTCATAATTGAGGTCTTGAGTTCCGGCATCTCTCATGTCAATGTTAAGTTTTTAAAACTTTAAAAGACTGCTAGTTTTCATCTATAATGTGCATCCCTGCCCGAAAAAATGCGCCATGTACTTTGCACAATGTCAAGGACCCCCACCTGTCTGGAAAGCATTCAGTGCAAGCTGTCATTATAATGGTACCGGTTCATTAGTCTCCATCTAAGATCACACCGCTTACGGACCCGGTTCGCTTTTAAGATCCCGCTGCTTTAAGAAAACAGAATTTTTAGCACACAAAAACCACCCCTAAGATCCGGCTCTGAAAGTCTAAATAAACTAAATTCGGCTAAGATTCCGCATTCCAGACCATAATTTACGGAACTAAAACCTGGACTGGCACAAAAGATCAACCAAGAGTGAAAGTTTACGATCATTGAACTGCCCGTCGCGTCACAGATCAGCCACTCTTATGAATGTGATAACCACATGCCTGTTGTAAATCTAGATGAAACGGTACAGTGTTTGTCCCTGACGGGATCATACCAAGCAGTACCGCCGACGCGTTTGTTTTCCCCTAAAATCGCACTCGGATTTGAGCTTTCCTCATAAACTTACATCACACGTTGGGTGGGTAGGGCCTATAAGTTCGCTTCAAGTGAGATCACATCGAACTGTGAACTCTTTCCTGGTCACAAAGTCATTGTAGCAGTTACTGCAGTCTCTACTCCCGAATTTGCCTGACAGACTAAATAAAACGCAATGGTGCGTAACAACAAAGGCAGGGGAGCTCGGTCAGAGATGGAAAGCTATACATTTTGGACAGGTAAAGGCAAAGGGGAGGAGCAACTGACAAGCATAGATAGGCACCAAAGGGATGGATGGATACCTTGCGGGATTTGGTGCTGGGGGAAACTGAGCACTTATGGACCTGTCCGGGGTGCAATGACCTTGTTGCCCAGGACAGGTAATACAGGCACCAAAGACTCTCTACTATACGCGATCTTTGGATTCGAGACCGAGGTTTATTTTTGGATGCTTTGCTTGAGACTCACTATAAGTGAAAATGGCCTGCCTCATGCCACTGTAATTGGTCATCACGGCTGACCACTCCTTGCTCGCTATAAGTCATTAATCCACACAGGCGTCACGTCAGTTCATTTTTTTTTTTTAAGTAAAAAGAGACCCTTTTACCGGTTGTGGACCTAAAATGGGTCACCGTCGATTCTTCCCTTGGTGCGTTGGCCAAGTAAGATTCCGTTCGTTTAAGATTTTGCATTTTCCTTGTTCCTGAGCACCAGGATCTTAGGCGGAGACTACTGTACTCTTACTTGCAACATCCTCACAAAGCCTTTTGCAGCCTTCGCTAAGTGCCCATTCTCACCTGGGTGAAGTGAGAGAGATTTGCAAAAAGTGTTTTTCCCAAAGACATGGACAATGTCAACCTTGACACAGTTGTGGGTTCGAAACAATATCCGAACCAAAGACGAGCGACACTATAATAAATGTTGGCCCTACATATCAACAGCAAACAGTTAAAAGGTAGAGCTACTTTGGAACTTCTTTCAGTTTGAAAAATGCAAATGAAAGACTAACACATTTTGGGGATGCTTGTAATGGTAATCCTGATGTTGTTGCTGAGGTAAATGTTGACACTGGGGTTAGAAAAAATATGTCATATAATGTCAAGAGCAGAACCATAAGGACGCTATCCGCGGACGGCAATCAAGAACAGAAACAACGGGAACTCGAAGTTCCCAACTTGTACTATCCAAAATACGGTAAAAGTTGATTTGGACTCCCCCCCCCCCCCTCCCCTCCCCCCTCATTCCAATGCTTAAAAGTCGCAACCCTAGAATTACAAAGTTCTATCTGCTCAGTAGCCTACCTCGTTTTGAGAAATCAGACGTAAAAAAAAAGAGTTTCACAACATGCAATTCCATGAATATCTTGATAATGACTCCGAATAATCTTACGATTTTGATAGAGCAGATAGAACATTTGGTTTCTGGCTTCGAGGTCTTAGCAACGCAAACTGGCCAAAAGTGTCAGAAAGAACTTTGTGATTCTAAGGTAGTGAGGTGTTCTTCTCGCACGACGTCACCGCGATCCATTGTCCCACGAAAAGTGGTGACTCCGGATGTGTGGACAAAGTCAGGTATTTCTGAACTAAGTTCCGATTATAGGGCTCAAGTTTATTTAATAGTCCAGACTCTTTTCACCGGATATTTCAGGTGCGATCTACTTTCCAGCCACAGCATCCGCGGATTGTTCAAAGGCTAGTTCATCATATCCGGTCTCTGGGTCGTCTGGCCTTGAGAATTTTACACCTTTACAGTTACCAATCATGACTTCTGCTGTCGTGAACACCGTCATGCTGATCACATGACCACCGATGACGTTTCCCTTTGCGTCACTCAGACTGACGTGCAGGTGGCCAGCCTCCCCGCCTGATAGGGTTCCGACTAGAGACACGATCTCGAACGGCCCTTCAAAATCTTGCGTCTGGAAAGCAGTGAAAATAAGTAGTAAGAAATAGTCACGTGGTTTTATAGAGCACTTTCGATTTTTTTTTTTCCGTTCACTGAACTCGAACATACGGCTGGCTGCAAGATACATGAACAGGTAATTCAGTGTAAGTGTACGTGCTAATCCAATTTATTTCATTTCTTTATGAAGCATCCAAGTTAAGAGTACTCTTCTGGTCCCGTAAACTGCACCCCCCCCCCCCCCCCCCAACCCTCTCCATCTCTTTTGTGGAGGTGTCTGGAGAAAGATCCCTAGCAGTGTAAGATATTATAAAATATATTACACGAGAGGCGTTCAATATGTCTTTACTCTGACAGTTAAAGGATTGTTGTATAACGAGGAAACTTTCAGAATATCTATCTTTCAAGAGTGCTGCTTGTGGAGTTGCGAAGAATTCCGACGGGCTCTTTGACAGCACATTTAGTGGACATAGTTCATGCATACGAGGGAAGCTGGGGAAGGGGGGGGGGGTGATTTCTTCTTCTGCACGTCAATGCTCCATTGAACAGAGCGGTAAATTACAGCAACCAAGACAGGAAAGACGTGTGGCTACGAAATTCCCCTCACCCGCCATATTCACCCTCTGACCTTTTCATTTTCCCAAATCTAAAAATAAAGAAAAAAAAATAGAGAGAGAGAGAGAGAGATAATAGCCTATTAATACTATTATATTTTTGAAATCTCAGTAGACAGTATTTCCATTGTGATGAAATGCCAATACATTACAAATGTATCTGCACTGGATGAAAGGTTTGAATTCCATGTGCGGTCATCTTATGCTTCAGGACTTGGAGGTCAAACAAAGTGACAAAAACCATGTCTATTTGCAGGTTGATCACAGAGAAGTGGCATTGTGCGTGTCAGATTTCTAAGTTCTATCTTGCTTCTTTCATACTTAGTGCAAAAACTTATTGAACGCCCCTTGCTGTTGTGCGATCTGTCAGTGACTTACAAGCATGTGGCAGGCCAATTCCTCTTATGTACATGTATTCATAATAATTTTCCATACATTAACTGTTAAAACTTGTTTCCTCTCTCCCTCTCATTATCATTCCATTCAACCATCCTTCCATCCATCATCCATCCATCCATCCATCTATCATCACTACAATCCTTCTTCTGTTTTAAGAAAGCTCGTCCCATCAAAACCCCTGACTGAGAGCAATGATAGTACATAACAAGATGGGCCACTTCTCTCTTTGAGTCAATTAAAAAAGTGTCCTCAAAATTTGGTGGCGCCCTCTTCACAAAAGCGCACTCTTTGCGAACAGAGTTACCCTACTTGAGTTTTAAAAAATCAAAGTGAAACTAGCAAGTTTTGGGATAAATTTCGGAAGAACGCTTTTTTAAAATGGTTACGCTGACAAAAAACCTCTTCCGGAGGAAAGGGTGATGGTTTTCTTCGTTTAATTTGACTTTAGAATGAAAGGCGAGAGGTCATTAAAATATTTAAAAAACTAAAACTCCGCACTGAACGTACCCGAACTGCTGATGAACAGCAGTCGATCTGCGCACGCAAGGAGGTGCTATTCCTATTCTTCTTCTGGAAAAAAAGAAAGAGAGCTTCAAAACAGACTGCAGCGCCATCTGAAGCAAAGAGCATACTTCCTGCGGACACTTTTTTGGCTGAGTGGCCCATCTTGTTATTCACTATCTTTGCTGAGAGTAGGAAATCGATTCTTGCACGAGTTTGAGAAAACTGATATATCCTCCACCCCCCTCCCACCCCCTTTCTACGTTGTAAGAACAGGCACGCTGAACCATCAGAAGGCACATTATAGTGACGAGCAGCAGCCTAACATTATTTCGCATCCTCCTCCCCCTCCACCTCCGCCTCATTTCGCTGACAAATCCTTGACCTAGAGGACAGTGCCTGACGCCGTGACCTTGACCTTGGGAATCCGATTAAACGTAATGTTGAACGCAGCATTATCCCTGATTTTTAGTTCATCTGCGACGTATCAGCTTTCATAACTGAATTTTGCTAAATTAGTTTTTAGGGAAACATTGACGTGAAACCATGATGTAAAACTGGTTTCTCATTGCCAGTATTTATGGACATTTTTATCAACTTGAAAAACAACAAGGCCTACATGTATGATCTTAATCTGAAACGTTTATACCGTACTGTTATACAGTATAATTTCGCGACATATTATTATGTAGGAATATTCGACGTCTCCCCTCTCCTCAAACAAACAAACAAACAAACAAGCAAGCAAACAAGCAAGCAAGCAAGCAAACAATCAAACAAACAAATAAACAAGCAAACTAACAAACAACTAATCAACCAACTAAACTAACAACCAACCAACCAACCAACCAAACAAACAAGCAGACAAAAAATAATCTGTCAAACAAACAAACAATAAACCGACAGACAGACAAACAGACAGGCAATCAAACGAACGAACGAACGAACGAACGAACGAACGAACGAACGAACGAACGAACGAATGAACACTTTTTACTTCTATAGGCCTACAATGTACCACACTGGACTGACCAGTACCACCCCTCCCCCCAAAAAAACCCAAAAAAACAACAACAACAAACAAACAAAAACACAAACAAACAAAACAAACAAAAAACCCAACAACAACCTACAAAACATCTATTTGTACAACTACAACTGCTGACGTACCACTTGAGCGTTGGCCATCCTGAGCCGGGCTTGGGTGACACTGCCCACACAGGTGAGCACATGGGCAGAGGTGAGGGAGTGCTGGCGGACAAAGGAGGCGAGGACTGAGCTGACCTCTTGACCTGGCCGGAGCCGTACTGGGTAGCACTGGAGCTCGCCATGGAGGGGCTACGTGTGGGAAGGGGTGGGGGAAGGTTGGGGAGGAGGTGGGCGATTATATACGGGGGTTTAAGTTAACGTGAAGAACTTCAAAAAGAAGAAGGAAAAAACGAGGTCGTTTTCACTGTTCAAGCCTGAGGAGGACTTGTATTAGGCCTATATATATATATATATAGATCTATGTCTCGTTTTCTCGTTCATCGTGTGTATGTGT